CCAGTCTGCTTCTTTTTATTGGTAAATTGAGACCTTTACATTGATGGTTATAACATATGCATTGGCTTATCCTTCTCACATTATTTTCTTCTTGGTGGTACTCTGTCTTTTCCCTCTGTTTAATTGCTTGCCTTGCCTGGTGGCTTCTTTTCTATTGCTGTTTTTGAAACTGTAGTTTTCATTATCTTTTTGTAAAATTATCCTTCAAATTATTTTGGAGAGCTGATTATGTGGTCATGAACTTCTTTAGTTGTTCTTTGTCATGGAAATATCTTATTTCTCCATTAATTTTGAAAGATAATTTTGCAGAGTATATCAATTTGGGTTGGTAGTTGTTTTCTTTTAGCACTTGAAATACTTCACTCTAAGATATCCTTGACTTGAGGGTTTGTGTTGAGAAATTTGTTGTGATTCTGATTAGTTTCTTTTTATAGGTGATTTGTCTAACTGCTTTTAATGTGCTGCCTCTATTCTTCTGCTGCATTTCTGGAATTTTGATTATTATATGCCTTGATGTAGGTTTATTTTGGTCATTGCTATTTGGATTTCTATGTGCCTCACTTATTTGTCTGTTAAATTTTTTATGTTTGGGAAGTTTTCTACCAGTATTCTTCAGTTTCTTAGGTGCCCAGGTAATAGTTCCTGTTCTAGTTCCAGATGCTTCTGTACTTTAGAAATGGCTGATAACTGTGATGGGTAGCTGGTCATGATGCACATTGTATAAACCAATCCCCAATTGATAAGCCATTCTGCCTCTGTACTTCCTGCTTGCTCATCCTATATAAATCCTAGATTACCAGAGATCAGGGCCTGATATTTTGGGCATGATCCCAATCAGTGCTCATCAACATAAATAAATCTGCCTCCAAATTCTGGATGTCATTTTGTGTTTCTGCTTGCTGTTGCAACCTATGTGAAGAGGTTTTTTATGGCTTTTGTGCTGCCTCCTGCTTTCTCATTGACTCCAAGCAGTCTTGTTTTTTATTTCATATTGCAGCTATTGGATTGATTTGTCATATTCCCTAGCTATATTTAAGATGTCTTTCCTTTTTGGTCATTAACTGCATTCTTGTCTTCTAGATCTGATATTCTCTCTTCACCTTCATCCAGTTTCTTGCATATACTTTCAATTTGAATATTTAATCTCCTGGCTATACGTTTGGATCTATTTCATAGCTTCCATTTCCTTCCTATGTTGGGCATTCATGGTTTCCATCATTTTTCTAAGCTCCTGTATTTTTTATCTGCTTCTATTCTAACTTCATTGTGTTTCATTTTGATCATCATTTTTTTTTTTTAACCTGGGAGATTATTTTTTCTATAGCTACCTATATTTGTTTTTTCACTTCTGCTGCTATCAGAAAGTTCCAAGGTATGACTTCTCATTTCTTCTATCTTGTTGTGCTCTGGTGTTGTACTAGGTGGCCTGGAGGTTTGAGGTTGCATTTTGCTTCCACATCTTGTCATTTTGTATTTTCTAGTCTTAATTTTTTTGTTTTCCATGTTGTTGCTTATAGATTTCTTATGATACATAACTTTATCACTAATATCAATGCTTCCCTTGGAAATATCTCTTCCTCAGAGATGTCTTAAATGTGTAAGTGTTTCTTGATTTTTGTGTCTATAGCAAGATCCTGCCTTCCCAATTTATTAAGTATGAGAAGTTGCTACCTCAGTATCCCAACCTTGATGATAGAGTATGATGATGGCTATCACCCCAGATGATCACAGTGTTGTCATACATAGGAGAAAAACTGATTGCAACGTGTATTACATATTGGGTAAAGTAGTACAATTAGCAATCATAATAGCATCAAGCACAGCTTAGCAACTGAGAAACTGTGGTAACTGTTAATTTGGCACCTTAAACTGAAGGAGCAAGCTCTCCAGTTATATAACAAAATTCAACATATATCAGGAAATTACATGGAATGAGTTTCCCATTGGTAGATTAATTTTATCCTGATTTTGGGATATTTAACAGGGATAAGAGATCAAACAGAGAGATGAATGAGGAGAAATATAGAAGAAGCAAGCTGTAAGGCAAAGGATGTTTCCCATGTGTTGGGAAACTGAAGGGGAGCACAGGAGAGAAAGAATGAAAGAGAAAGCAAAAGAATATTGAAGCAAATAGAAAGAGAAGAGACTGTTTTGATGCACATAAAAGTATCATAAATCAAGACAGATTGTTGAGGTAAGAAAGAGGACAAACAGAACAAAACAAAAATCCAGGTAAGAAGCCTAAAAAGTAAAAAAATAACAAACCAAACCAAACCAAACCAAACATACAAGCAAAGGCAAAAACAAAACACCCCAACAAGATTAAAAAAGGAAAACCAGTCAAACAAACAAAGAAAAGGAAAAATAATAAATTTCTTCTGATGTTCACAATTCTGTGGTAGTTTCCATGTTGGGTCCCAGAGATGTGCAATCCTTCCAATTTTGCAGTAGGATTTGTGCTGGGTATGGAGCTGATCTTAGCCTCTGGATGTGAGGGCTCGGACTGGTTTTCAGCTGACAACATTTTGAATGTCCATTTCTCCTTATTGTGATCATCTCTATGGCACTCTCCCAGTTGCAGTGGCACCCTTGCTTAGGAAGAAGCTAGGGTTGCTCCCAGACCTGTGTACATCTGACTCTTTCCAGACTTTCCACAATTTCCTCTTTTTCACACCACTAGCTCCTTTGACCTGCTGGTCATAGGGTCGGGGCAGTACCCTTGTCCCTCCACAGACCAAGGCTGCTTGTCTGCTTTCTTACTTGTGCTGCTGGGTCAAGGCAACCACCAGAGAGGTGTCTGGGTGGTACCAGCTCCTACATGTCAGCAGAACTCCCCCTAGTCTGCTTCCCAGCTTCTAGCAGTCCATTGTGCCTGGAAGGCTTTTCCATTCTTCCATTTCTGGACATTGGCAGTGAAGCAATCCAGGACCGTTCTGCTGCTGAGGTTTGCCAGAACCCCTCACCTCACTCACCAACTGCTGGTTCTGTGGGACTTCTGGGGAAATGGTGTCCTGCCATGTTCTGGGCCTGCTTCACTGGGGATTGGGGCATTGGGTGCACTAGGCCTGTTACACTGGGGTGCAGGGTGCACTGGATCTCCTATATATTCTTAAAATTGGCCAGTCTGACTAGGGGAGAGGTAATCTCAAAGTAGTTTTAATTTGCATTTCCCTGACATCTAAGATGCTGATAATTTTTAAAATATACTTACTGATCATTTGTTCTTTTGAAAAAGTATACATTCATTTGCCCAATTTGTTCATGGAGTTTAACTTCAGTGTTCATTTTTTTGTGTTTTTTTTTTTTTTTTCCGGTATCAGGAACCGAACTCAGGACCATGCGCTTGCCAGGCAGGCGCTTTGCCGCTGAGCTAAATCCCCAGCCCTGTGTTTAAAAACTATGTTCTGGATAATAAACTTCCAACAGAAGAACAATTGGCAAAGAATTTCTCCCATTCTGTATGCTGTCTTTTTAATTGTTTTCCTCTGCTGTTGAGAAGCTCTAATATACTCCCATTTGTTGATTCTTGCTATTATTTCCTATGTTATTGGAGTCTTATTTATGAAATCTTTGCCTATGCCTATTATTCTGTTTTGATTGCCAAAGACTATGAATATCAACACTTGCCTGCTAATTTGGGGACCATTGCAGAAAGGAAATTTTCATTAATACATTTTTGTTGTTGCTGTTTTTATGTGTCTTTTCTCCTCTTCTTGATATCTATAACATTCTTTTCTTATTCCCTTCTCTCACATTCTTACATGTTTTTCTCTTTATAAATTTTATTTTTATTTTTTCACTTTGTATTTTATTCTAGATTATTTTTCTGCTTTTGTTTGAGATATTGGTAGTGTTACAGTTATTTTTGTTTAGTCATTACTTTATTTCTTCATCTGGTCTGCTTTTTTCCTTTCTTTTTTTCACGTTCTCTGTTTAAGATGCTATGGACTGAGCCTTTAATCATCTTGAGTATTCACATGTTGGGCTGCACTCCCAGTACATCTGAGTGGTATCACATCTTGCTCCACACATGATATACTTCCTCTTGAATTTTTGCAGGATAGTCGGCATATAAATGGGGGCATGCTCCAGTTGACATCCTCTTCTAAAGCAGACATAAAAATGGGGTGGGGGAGGATGCCCTGAAATCCACCTGGACACTTACCCTCCCTGAAGAGCAAACAGAAATAACATAAATTTTGTGGGCTCTACTTCTATAAGGGATCTCAGCATTGTTTGCTCCCAAAAGGTATCAGATCATACATAGCTGAAAATGCTCATACTTCACATCATAGATCTATGATCTCTGCCCCGTCACTTTCCATGAAAGAACTGCAGCTACACTAGTGCTTAATAAAAGGATAAAAGGATAAAAGGTCCTGGCCTATCAAAAGAGCTAACAGCAAAGTTGTTCCAAGTAACAGAGCCAATATCAGTAGTCTGAGGAAATCCCTTCTACATTATAGGCACTTTCATCTCCCACATAATACACTGTTTAAACCAAACCCACTTTGAACTACCAGAAGGATCACAATCTTACAAGACCTACAGAGAAAGTTGGTCCTTACTTTCCAATATATTATTTTGCATTAAAAGCCACTTATAATAGCCAAAGAAGTCCCAGAGAAGCTATAGTATTGAGATCAACTGGATTTATCAACACCACAAAATAAATGGATCCCATGACCGATTGTCAAGAGAAGAATTCTTACTGGGAATTCTCTCACACAATAGTGAAAGCAGGAGTCACTCCAACAGTTATGAAAACCTCAACATAGAAACACAACTTTCTCTCTTGTTCTCAACACCAAATCTTTCTCCACTCTGAAGGCATCTGCCAGCTGGGCCCACCTTTGAGAAGCTCAAAGTTCACTGAAGTTAAAGTACTACAGAAAGATCTTATGTAACAAGTTTTTGGCTGAATTTGTGGCTGTAATCTGAGAGTTGGGTATGGACTATTCAAATAAGAGGGGATAAGCTCTTAGTAGGTGTGGCTTGGGGGTTTTAAGAGATGCCTGGTGAGGTCTTTGGAAGAGGAAAATCTTTCTTTCTTTTTGTCATTTTAGTCTATTTATTTAGATTAGGCAGGTGGGGTTCTGGGACAGGTCTCCAGCTCTCAGGCAGGACTGTGCATTCCCTTGGAACAGTGAGGAAAGCACATTGACCCTTGAGCTGCTGTCCTTCCATGATGTGGCTTTATGCTCTGGTCTTGGCCTGTCTCACCACTTGCACAGCTTGGGGTAAGTGCTTCTGAAATACAATTAAAGGGAGTTGGGGGAGGCTCATTTACAAGTCTTTGTCCTGAGCCAAGGAGGGTGGAGATGTGCACAGAAGAAACACCTGACAAGTCTGGTTCCACAGCAGGAGTATTTACTTTCTGGACTGGAGTGTGGATGTGGAATCAGCATATCTACAAGGAACTATAACCTAAGATCCAGCTGCATACTATAGACATAACAGGGCCAGGAGATAACTTGAAAGCTCACACAAGAGGAAATAGGGGAGTCCAGTTTATTTTCCTATTGATTCCCAGATCTATACAGGTCATGATGGTGGCTCAGCAGAACATTAAAACATCTTTTCTTTGGCTGTATGACAGAGGGAGAGGCCTGGAACTGAGGTATAAAAAGGGACCCAGAGAGACAGTGAAGCATTACTTTTTGCTGCCTGGAAATGCAAGCACCTTTCCGTCTTTAGGAAATCAGTGTGCTCTGATTTTAAATCCTGTGTGCTCTTCTGCTCAGTGGACATATTAACAAATAGATCAAGGCATTTTTGGAGAAATAGTATAAAGCACATTTCATGGATGTCAAGCACACAGTAAGTGCTCACCATATGCACACTCCATGTGACATAAATGTTAACAGCTTTGGCCATTCTTGTTTGTCTCTGTTACTCTGTCCAACCATATTTTTACCTGAGATAATGTGAAGGTCACCACTGGGTTCTACCCAATTCATCTAGGGTGAAGGTTGTCACTGAGCTAACACAGGCCACACCTAGTGATTTCTGCTTAGACTTTCCCCTCTCTGACCCCTTTGAAGCACTCAGCACTCTTGCCAATCCCTCCTCCTTCCTGGGCTGCCCTGACGCTGTGCCTTTTTCTTGCTCCACTCTGGCAGGTGCTCTGTCTCAGCGGCAGCTGTCTCTGAGCTTTATTTTCAGCTTGTTCTCTTCTCTCACATGGGTCTGTAATGAAGTCACACACCTGTGATGTGCTCCCTCACCTTAGGCAGATGCGTTTGCCTGCCCCTGACCACTTCCTTCCACTCCTGCGGTGCCCTTGTCCTGTGGCATTTTCTCACCAGGATTCCCACTGACTTCCCCACTGAACCTGCCTCACATGCAGCCAGCATCTTATACTTGCTCTTCAGCCCCCTCCTTTGCTGTCCACAGCCCCCACGTCATCAAATTCTAAGACCTCTTTCATAATTCCTCAATCCTGTCTCCAGATATCTTCATAAATATTTTTCATAATTAAAAAAACTTAACTAATCTTCAGCACAGAAATCTTTGACTAGAAAAAGAAACCTGCATCGTCTCCATTCCTGAACACCTCCAAGAAATGCAATACAGGAAGTGTACTTTGGGATAATTAGTAATAATTAGCAACAAAAAGGAAACCTGCATGCGGTTGTTAATAACCCCATTTGTTTGTAACATTATTTCCCATAGTTTTCAGTATTATTGGCTATGATTCTGTTAGAATAAATCTTATTCTTTTTTTTCTGGTTATGCATTTTGAGGGAGATATTGATATATTTTTAAAATTTTTGTATTTTAAAGAGAATACAAATTTTTTGAATAGGAGCAAATTGGCAGGACAAGAGTTTAGAAGTCATGTCCTAGGAAGGACACTCTGAAAAGTTGAGGTAGAGAGGCCTCAGAGAAGGGAAGACTGCATGGGTAACCATGGTTATGAAAATCACCCAGCTTGTGAAGGATGATCAGGTTAGTTGACACAGGTTAGTTGACATTGGTTATTTGACACTGGCAGTGGAGACCGAGGGTGAAGAAGAGGTGAGGAAGAATTTTCTGTTTTATAAGAATGGAGTGGATGGAACAGACAGGACACTTTTATACCTCTGAACTGACCCACTCACAGCCACTTGAGAATGTTGCAGAAGCTTATTGTGTGCTTTACTTCAGAACTGTTACTGGTCTAATTATCCCACTGAATAAAAGCCAGTCCCTCAGCCTGTCTTTGTAGGCCTTAATTCCATTCACCTTCTCATTCCACAATGATCTTCCAACTGCCCAGGGACTCCATAGTGTGGTTTTCCTAGGACGATATATTTATTGGCTCTACTTTGTTCTGGAATTAAGAACATATATTTATTGGCTCTACTTTGTTCTGGAACCATCAAGAACCTTAAAACATTCCAGAAGAATCACACCATGCAGGGTCTGTGTTTTGTTGTCTCTGGGCCTCTGCACTTTCTCTTACTCCTACTTCATCTACACCTTTCCATCATCACTTTCTTTGCTCTCTTCCTGCTGCAGATCCCAGGTCCCACCAAGCAGAAGGCCTCACTCCCTCTTCTCAATCATGTGGCACCTTTTTCATTCTTCTCCAATGACACTTCCTTCTTTCCAGTATTATGTCAAGGTGCTCTGTGTCTTTTTTCCCTATGATGTCAGTCTCCTGAGAGCAGGGTCCCCTCCTTTTCATCCTTTCATCCAGCAACAGCTCAGCACCAGATGCTAATGAGTATACATTTATAAAGGCTTATAAGTAGGACACAAAAGGTCTCATTCATTCCTACCAGCATCTTTGCTTTTTAAAAATTCCTTTGAAGTGACTTTTCTACCTCCAGTTGTACTTTTCTCTTTCAATTAGCCTTAAGAGTAAGGAAGGAAAGTGTTCCTTATTTCCGCAATACTAACAAGAAATCGAGGCCCAGAGAGTGTAAGAGATTTAGTCAAGGTCACATTTTTAGAAGGAGGAAAAACTCAGCTGGAGCGAGGGCCTCACCTTTCCCCTCTGATGTGTCCTCATTTCTATCCAGCAGGACACACATCCTCACCACCTGTGGTGGACACTGTGCATGGCAAAGTCCTGGGAAACTATGTCAGCCTGGAAGGCTTTGCACAGCCTGTGGCGGTCTTCCTGGGAGTCCCTTTTGCCAAGCCCCCTCTGGGATCCCTGAGGTTTGCCCCTCCACAGCCTCCAGAGCCATGGAACTATGTGAAGAACACCACCTCTTACCCTCCCATGTAAGTTGGTGGGGGTGAATTTGGCACCTTCCAGTGAGGATGTTTTTCTCAGGATAACGTAGGAAAGAATTAAGATAATATACTCATTGGCTCTACTTTGTTCTGGAACCATCAAGAACCTTAAAACATTCCAGAAGAATCACACCATTCAAGACCCTTTTATTCAGCACATAGTCATTGAACACCCATTGTGTGCCAAGCATGTTCTCCGTTCTTAGAATTCATTAGAGAACAAAACTTTCCAGAAATGGGCAATGGGATAAGAGTCCGTATGGAAGGTTAAAAATTAACTTGGTAATAGGTTAAAGTAGAACACTTTAACTCTGCTTTCTGAGAGAATTAAAAACAGTTGAACAGGTGAGGAAGGTAAGAGGGAGTATTGTGATCTCATCTATCTTGAGACCAAGTTGGCTGGGTATTTATGAATACTAGTGAAATTAAAATTTTTTCACACTTGTGACATTTTACTTGTGTTTTTATAAATATTATGCCACTTGTTCTTGGAAAAACTCCCCAGGACAGACGTCTCAATGTCTTCTTTGCTTGCCTTGTGTCTGCCACTGAAGTCTCTCAACCAGTCATTTGAGAGCCTCAGTTCCTCTACACCATCCTGCAGGCAGCAATTCTACCAAATGGGGCCACTGAGCACTGAAAATAAGCACTGCATAGCATGGATCTGTCTGCTGTGCAATCCTTGGCAGGTCTCTAACTCTTTTGTGCCTTGGTTTTTTCAACTGTAAAATAGGGATAAAAAGAGAATGTGTGCTAGGAGTATATTGTGTGCTAGGAGTATATTGTGTGAGGCTTCAATGAGTCAGTACATGAACAGGGTTTAAATCAGTGCCTGGCACACTGGGGAACTCAGAATGTGTTGCAGGTTGTAATCTATGTTGGATCTTCGGGACCTCTTATCAGGGCAGCCTACAGTGGTGGCCTGGGGCAGAATGATGAGGGAATGTTAGCATGGCAGGGCTGCAGGATCCTTACAGAACTGGCAGATTGGGCCCAAAGCAAGAAAGGAGCTTGCTCATGATCATCCAGGACATCTATCGCTGAGGCAGCCCTGAAGTGCAGTTTTCCTGCAGTTATCACCAAGACTTCATCCCTGAACTGCTGAGCATAGTTTCTTACATTTGAAGGAGTTCTGGTTGAAGGAAGTCTGTTAAGGACTGGAACATGATTACATGGTAGAAATAATCAGAGCCCAGCAGAGAATGGTTCTGTAGGGAGTGTCATCTCCCAGGTCAGAACAGCATGTGGGCAACCTCCTGTCCCTGGATCAGTGCATCCTAGAGGTTATGGAAAGGGTAGAGACGCCAAGTCCCTCCCATTCTGCATGATCTGGGGAGACTCTAGAGTACCAGGGCTCCTATTAGGATCTCCAGAGAGCTTTCTACCCATTGCAGTCACTTCAGTCCAATGATGGCTACTTCGCTTAGAGGTTTAAATCTCCCAATATAAGTTACATCCACTATTGCCATTTGTAATTTCCACCTGGTTGAACCTCTGGTGTTTTTCCTTCCCTCCTAGGTGCTCCCAACATGAAGAAGGGAATCAGATGCTCTCTGATTTCTTTACCAATAGGAAAGAGAGCATTCCTATCTGGTATTCTGAAGACTGTCTATATTTAAACATTTACACTCCGGCGGACTTGAGGAAGAAAAGCAGTCTGCCGGTAAGCGTGGCACAGCTGGTCAAGACCTGTGAATTTCAGCATCTGGAAACTTGGAATGCAGAATAGAAGGGGATGAAGTCAGCTTGGGGCAAGGGCCCCAGAGGTTTTGACAGATTGTTGGCCAGAGCTTCCTGTCACCACAGGGAATGCAAGTTGTCCTTACCTCAGTTTTCCATAGTAACTTCAAGTATCTGGGGGGGAATTCTGTGTACATCTGGAATACACATCTTAATAATTCTAAGTTTCATCTCACTAACTGAAGAACAAGAATGAACACCCAGTTACTGGATTAAAGATGCCCAGAGCAGCTAAAACATAATTTTCAAGAAGTTAGAGCTAGTTTCTCAGGAAAATAGAGACATGCAAGACTGATCAAATACGGAATCATTAAGTGTACCTTTCAGTAAAGCGATAGAAGACAGTAGTACATCTATGTTAGCTATGCTTTATATACATACATACATAATTTCCCTGTGAAGATATCAATGCATAATACAACAACCACTGTTAATTTCTTACCACTTTCTCTGTAACTCTGTATTGTTTGTATTGTTCTTATGCTATTTTGTAAATGGGTGTCTGTTTGTTAATATGTTTTCTTACTTTTATTTTTAAAGTAAATTAAAAACAAAGAAGTTAGAGCTGGAAGGAACCTTAGAGAAAATGGAACAACTGGATAATTTCTTTCCATCATGTAGAGAAACTGAGGCCCAGATAGGGAAGGGGAGGTCACACCACAAGATTGCCAATACCAGACCTGCAGTTTCTGATGTTCCAACCAGGGTTATTTTGACAGCGAATAGGAAAGAGAGCATGTGTTTTATCTTTCTGCACAAGGCCCCTGCAAGGACTTTCATTGTCTTGTCAAAGTGTCACTGCCTGGTGACTGAGGTGTTGTGGGGGGAACCTGGATAATCCCAGCAGACATTTCCTTGTCTTTGACCAATCCTGGGAGATTTTATGATGGTTTACGTCCCTTCCTAATAGCTTCTGGCACAAGCTGATGACTCAGTGACTCATCACTTTCCAAAGATTAAAAGAGCAAAGGTGAGGCAAACTGCAGGGGCATGGGGCAGGGGGCAGGAGTGCATGCTGGCAAAGAGGAAGTCCACAGTTCAGGAGGGAGACAAGGGAGAGTGTCAGCAGCCATCCAGTTTGCTAGAAACACCCTGCCATGGACCCCAAGAGTGTGGGTGAAGGATGTGATCTTGGAAGTCGGTCTTATCTGAGTTTGTAAGGAATACCGAGGTGTGGAGAAATGTCCCCTCATTCATTCACTCGTGCTGCAGCATAGTCAGTGTTCACATGTGTGCAGTTAGATTTAGGGGTTACAAGGAGAGGAAAGAAACCATAAGAGCACAATCCTGCCTTGGCAGAGCTGCCATGAGGGTTTCAGAGACACATCATGACTTGTCCAGCAGATTGTTGCTGAGCAGCCCATGGGCTCAGCCTTTATTTATTTATTTATTGTACCAAGAATTGAACTCAGGACCTTGTGCTTGCCCGGCAGGCATTTAGCCTTTATTTATTTATTTATTTATTTATTTATTTATTTATTTTTTGGTTTTTCTCCGGTACCGGGAACCAAACTCACGACCTTGTGCTTGCCAGGCAGGCACTTTTGCCGCTGAGCTAAATCCCCAGCCCCTTAGCCTTCATTTAAAGATGACTGTGTCTCAGTCCCTGCCCTGGAGACAAGCAAGGGACAGAGGTGGAAGAGAAAGGATCTTTGGGAGCCTGGAGACAGGACAACCCCTCCCCCTCCAAGTATGGACACAGTGTCTTGGACTAGGGGTTTGGATGTAAATCCTAAATCTGCCTTTGAATGACCTAGAACCTCTGACAATTTCTTCACTTCTTTCAATGTCTCTTTCCTGAGATGAGAATAATGTGTATTCAGTGATGACTGTCAAGTTTCACTCAGTCCTGGCTGAGTACACACAATCAGCACTGGTAACGTACTAGTTAGAGCTGCAAAAGAATCTTCCTCTTGCATGAAGAGCCAGATTACTGTGTTGTACTTGTGTGCTGCTCTCAGAGGGCAGCTCAGCACATGAGTTCTGGAGCCAGATTGCCAGGACACGTCTTGACACCACTTTTAGCTGTAGGATCTTGGGCAATGAAGTGCCCCAGTGTCCTTATTAGTTGAGAAGTTATTAGTACCTACCTTTTGGATAGGTATTTTTCAGTGCTGAGAACAACATTGATGTGTAGTTGATGATACAATGTATTTTCTATTTGCAATAGAAGTAATATTATTTTACTGACCTTCATTTCTTTCTTGAGGTGTGAACTTTTAAATGCAGGGAAGTGGCTCAAGAATTGTTCTGTTTACTATACTGTCACTTTCAACTCTCACCACAGTCCCAGGCACATCGTAGGTCTTCACATAATGTTAGTCAAATGACTGGAGACTTACGGCAGCAGGTGAATGTGAGGTTGTGCTGAGGAGGATGTGTGGGATTTAGGCTGGCGTGGAGGCGCAGTGGAAGCACAGTAGGAACGGATCCATTGGGGATGTTCCTAATTTTTGAGATAGTGGAAGTGCACAGGAAGTGTAATTTTTCACTAAGGGGTTAATAGAGATGAAGCTGAAACAGAAGGGCTTCCTCCTTCTCTTCTGTATGTTCAGCTGGTTGCATGGTCCAGGCATGGGAAGGGAGGAGTGTTGGGGAGAACATACATCTTTGGTGTTCACTATACCTTTCATGACTCTCATTTTAAAGAGACTCAGCAGGACATGGCACATGGGTCTGGGGAGAAAGGCAAGGGTAACCCGTGGGTATTGAATGCGGTGATGGCCTGGGCCCAGCTGGGAGAGCTGGGGAGGAGAGAGTCTGCCTCTTGCAACATGGCTAGTGTTGGTGGACTTTGGGCAATGACCTCCTTGAGTTACAGCCAAGATGTTGTAAGTGACCAGATCAGAAAATGCCTGAGTTATTATTCAGTAGCATATTTTTTGTGTGATCCATGTGGCTGTGCCCTCTTTGTGCAGGTGATGGTGTGGATCCATGGAGGTGGTCTGGCGCTTGGTGGGGCATCAACCTATGATGGACTGGCCCTCTCTGCCCATGAAAATGTGGTGGTGGTGACCATTCAGTACCGACTAGGCATCTGGGGGTTCTTCAGGTAACATCCTGGACTCTTTTCTCAGCACATTAACTTCTGTGTTGGTTTATTTTATGTTGATACAACAAAGTACCTAAGACTGGATAATTATTTTTAAAGACAAAGTGTTTTAGCTCATTCCAGCCTTGGTGGTTTCATCTGATTGGTCTTTGGTGACAGCCCCTTGGCTGTGTTGCAGTGTGGTGGAAATCAGAAAGAGAATCATCAGCAGAGAGGTTTGGTCACAGCGTAGACAAGAAGCTAGAGAACGGGATCTGCGACCTTCTGTCTCTTTTATAGCAACTCACTCCTTTGGGAGCTAACAAGCACCTCCTGAGCTATATGTTAATGTGTTGTAAGGAAGCAACCCTCATAATTTAATCATTTTCCACTAGTCCTCACCTTGTACAGGTTCTATCACCTCTTAATACTGGCACATTAGGGATCAAGACTTCAGCATGTGAACCCTTGGGGGACAAACCACATGCTTGCCAAGCCATAATAGCTGCCACAGCAATGATGTGAGGGCCCAGCTGTACTCATCCAATCCCTCAAAACACCCTTTTCTAAAGCTCTTAATAATATATATGCTGCCTTCTTTATTGGACCCCAGTGAACTTTCCATTTACTACTCACACATGTCGATTTGCTTCTGAGCTTTTGCATGGGCCGTGTCCATGGAATGTCTGCTCTACCTGCCCATCTCCTATTCATCCTGCAAGGCTCATCTTTTATGTTCCTGCCTCTGAAATACTTATCTCCTTTTCACCTGTGCTGTCTACCAGTACCCAACAAAGTTTCCAAAATTCTCTCTCTTCTCCAGTTCTCCTTCTGTGATGGGGTAAGTGCTGTGCATCTTTTCTGAGGAAACTAAGGAAGGGTACGTTCCAGGGGAAGTGTGGTGAGTGCATGTGCATGCAGATTTACAACTTCCCATGTTGCCAGGCTGTTCTCACAGAGTCAATAATGATCTCCACCAGTGCCTTCATCCACCTAATGGGACCTCTCAGCACCATCTACCAATATCCACTCCTTGCTCTCTGAACTGCTGCATTTCGTAGCTCTGGTCACTTCCCATCTCCTGGCCTGCTCCTTCTTAGCCCCTTTGCTAGCCCTTCTTCTCTTCCATCTCCAGTTTCTGTGTCTCCCTCTCCATTAATCCCTGGGTGACCCCAGCAGATTTCATAGCTCTTGTTTTTGTAGCATCCACCTGTCTTTTAATGCCAGGTGCCATTTTTAACTATCTTCTCCCATATCTCTGGATGTCTACAAGATGCCTCGCTCTTTGCATTGACAGTGCTTGAGATCATCTTGAGAGGTAGGCAGTGCTCTATCTCTTCCTCTTTTCCCACAAGAGTCTCTGTGCAGCCACCAAGCAGCTCCATCCTCCCTTTTGCTCGGTATAAATCCCTGGTAGGGAGCCTGAACTCATCTCTTTTTCTTGCAGCCAATGTCCGTATGACTAGCAAAGCTTCTTGGTTCCACCTTTTAAAGGTATATTCATCCACCTACTTCTCACCAAGCTTTGCTTGCGCCATAATGAAAGGTCTATGCCTCTGACTATTGTTCCAACTATGCCTTTCCCCTGTGTTATAACCACATATTTTTATAAACCTGCTATTTTTCCATGATGGGTGCTTCATATAATAACCAGAGTGCTTGTGTGAGAAATAACTTACATGATGTCATGCCTCTTAGCAGAGTTCCTGTGTTACTTGCCACGTTATAGCAGTTCTTGACCCGGCTTGCCTTAAGCTCTTTAGCTCTACCTAATAGTAGTCACACTCACATTTTCCTCCCTTGTTCCTAGGTTCTATGCACCTGCTACTTCTCCTAAATGAAATTCCCTTCATTGGTAATTTGTAAGACCTATGTGCTCATTTTATCCTGATCTCTACCATATCCTACTGCCTCAAAGACACTTTCCCTAGTCATGAGATTTAAAATATCACCATACTGTCCCACACCTATTTCTTTCTTTATTGTTTTTTTTTTTTATCCTCGAAGGACTTTCAGGAGTTGACACCATATTTTCTTTTACCATCTATTTATTTGCAGTCTGAAGTGTAGCCAGGGATTTTTCTTTGCTTATTTGTATCAAAGGTATGATCTAGCTTTTCAATCAGTTTTGGATGCATGGTAGATGCTCAGTCTGCAGTAGCTAGAAGGATGAGTGTGAGTGTAGATCTCTTCGTATAATGCTACTGTAGGAATGAGAAGCAGGTGAAGACCTCTGTGTCAGGTATATAGAGTCTTACCTGTCTCTGGAAGTTTAAGTGAAAAACCCTAAACCACTTAGCATCCTAAGAACACTGCTGTGATAGATTTATTTCCCTCTCCCACTCTATCTCTTGCAGCACAGGAGATGAACACAGCCGGGGGAACTGGGGTCACCTGGATCAGGTGGCTGCACTGCGCTGGATCCAGGACAACATTGCCAACTTTGGAGGGAACCCAGGCTCGGTGACCATTTTTGGGGAATCAGCAGGTGGTGAAAGTGTCTCTGTTCTTGTAAGTGATCTTTCTATCAGGTTGTCTTAGTTACTTTTCTTGTTACTGATACAAAATACCTGACATCCAAATTTAAAAGCGAAAAGTTTTACTTAGCTCATAGTTGTAGAGATTTCAGTCCATAATTGTCTGGCTCCAAGGCAAGGTGGCATGGCAGAGGAGAAACAGCTCATGGTGAGCATAAGATAGCAAAGCAACAAGGGATAATTAAAGCCCTTTTTATCCCTTTTGTCTTATCCAGGCTATGTAGGTATGGCAGGTAGCAGTCACCCCCTTGATTCTAGTACCCTTGATCCTAGCATTGTACCATGAATCAGTTTCAGTGTCACACTCTAGTTCCAGAGACCTCTGAAAAAGCCCCTCATATGACTCCATGCAGCTATGGGGGACATCTTGACACAAGTCATAATACAGGCCTCGGGCCCAAGGTTGATATGGTTCTGGTAGGACTCTTGGAGACCAACCAATCCAGTCATGTGTCTCTGTGCTTCGAAGACCTGGATTCAGAGCTGAGTCTACTCAGTGCCCAGCATCATATTGTGAAGAGCCAAGTCCCGACTTTCCTTGGACTGTAGGGGGATCAGATTGAGCTTAATTTTTAGGGGCTGTAAGAATCTCAGCTTCAGCCTTCAGTAGTGACATTCCTCTTCTTTCGACTTGAGTTTTCATTACTCTTCCGAATCATTTTTTACATTAGAGCTCACCTTGCCTCTCTTGGGAAGTAGGGATGCATATGAACTATATATAGCAAGGGGTAAGGACATGAGCTGGGTAAAGTGTCATTTGACTGCAGGCCAGGTGCACATAATGAGGGAATCTGAGCACTAAGAGCAGTCAGGTGCTTCCTTACAGGTGTCCCAAGAGCTCATTCAGGCCCAGAATGGAGGGCAGCACTCTTTGGGACTCTGGGGCAATGAAGGGCTTGGGGTAACATTAAAGCAGAAGGAGAGATGGAAGTTGAAATGGTGGAGGGACAGGATGGGGAGTTTGATACACAGACCTAACCTTGAGTCATGACATGTCTTATTGGTATGAGAAGGGGGCTCGGGGATAATGGTAGAAGTTATAGAGGGCTCTGGGAGCCAGAAGATGTAATGCAAGCACTCAGTGTAGAGTACAGTGTCAGCCCTCTTACTGTATTTTTACACAAGGTATCAGTTTCATAGTTGAATACTCAGAAGAAAATGTTACATATTTTTATAGCAGAGAAAAAGAAAATAGATAAACTTAAAGAAGAAAATAGTCATCCACTTTCCCATTCTCCATGAACAGTCGTTGTGGAGTATTGGGCATGTATTTCCATAGCATTTTCCACAGTTCTTACGTATAGATGCATCTATCCATGTCTCAGTCCTCTTTCTAGCCATCCATTCCCTCACTCTCACTCTCTGTATCATGTCTATCTTTCCCTCTCTGTTATTTCATCATTTTTAAAGTGTAGCATGACATAAACATTTCCTTAAAATTATGTTTTCTTATATGACTTTATTTTTTATTATTGCATAGTATTCTATATTAAGAATCAAAAATTGTTTATATATCCAATCTGATAATATTAGAACTGTGGATTAATTTAATTTTTCCTATGATAAACAACATGAAAATTCTTAGATCTTATTGTGTACCTTCATGATCATTTTTCTTTTCCTTTCCTTTCCTTTCCTTTCCTTTCCTTTCCTTTCCTTTCCTTTCCTTTCCTTTCCTTTCCTGTCTTTTCCTTCCCTTCCCTTCCTTTTTCCTCCCTTTGCCCCTTCTCCATTTCCTTATTTTTTCTTCTTCCTAAGCTATATATCAAAGCCAGGGTCTTGGGAATACCATGTAGGCAGTCTACTTTGAGCAACCCTTTGATAACAGTTGCTTTTCTTATCATAAATTTTTGCTAAAGGAAATTCTGACACAAAATTTGTTGCAAAGAATGCCAAAAATTTTTTTTGAACATTTTGGTTATTATCATGTGTACATGCCACACACTTCTAGTGTTATCCCTTACTCTGGGCTCTGGTTCCATTCGTCCAAGGTTCTCCTGGGGAAATGGAACAGAGAGAGCCTGGAAAGCAAGAGGGAAATGTGAACTGCTGTCATATCTACTGAGTGGTGATTCTCCAGTTGAATGGGTAGGCAGAATAGTGGGTAGCTGGGGTCTTAAATAATGTGTGAATCGTTGGCTCCTGGACCATGAGCATCAAATCTCCTCCTCTCCATTTCTCTCTCAGGTGTTATCTCCCCTGACCAAGAACCTGTTCCACAGGGCCATTTCTGAGAGTGGGGTGGCTTTAACTGCTGGTCTGGTCAAGAAGGATGGCAAGTCTTTGGCTGAGGTAGGTCTCACCCTGGATAGCTGTTGTACTTTCTTCTGCTCTTCTGGAATCCACAGGGGCATTTTTTACTGAAGGATTGTATTGCGATGCTCAAAGGATCACTGAAGTCAGGATGGTTGTGCATGAAGTGCTACTGCAAGACTCACATTTAAATCATGTTATATACTTTATACAGTATTTTCCAGTGAGTCATTATATCCAGACCTACTGCAATTCTGAGCAAGCCTTACTGTGTGGAAGACATGATACACACCTCAGCACATCAGCTGTATTAACTCTTTGTACAGGAGAAATGCAATGATAACCCTCAGCTATGGATAGGGAAGCAAAAGTATAAAGAGATTGAGAGGCTCACTGGAGATCAAATAACTAGGAATGAAAGAGCTGGGATTTGTCATCAGACGTGAATTTCTGGATATGAGCTTTGTGTGCCAATGACGAAGAACCTGTCTTGAGACATTAAACTATAAGAATACTGTGATTTGTATAGAGAGATATAGGTACAGATGTAGAGATAGAAGTAGAGAGAGATAGTAATAGAGAAAGAGATATATTTACTGGATCATGCCATAACTAACTTCATATTTATTAAAAAATGCAACACCCGATGGGATTCAGAACCCACACCTACTGGTCTAGAGTATTTGAAGCGACTTTTAACTGCATTTTATAAACTGGGCTTTGGGTAAAACTCTTCTGTCTACGTTGACGGAGGGAAGGAACATTTCCCTTGAACTCTGTTTTCACTTGTAATATCTACAGAAAATTGCTGTTGCTGCTGGGTGTAAAACCATCACAACAGCTGTCATGGTTCACTGCCTGCGCCAGAAGACAGAGGACGAATTGCTAGAGATCTCACAGAAGATAGTAAGTGCCTCCATTCCAATGGCCTTACCTTGTGTACTTGACCCTATTCTTTATCTCCTCAGCTGTTCTCTTGCCTTAAACCATCTGGGATAGTTTCTTACCTTTCAGCAGCACTGTTAGGTTACAGACATAAATTGGAATTTTATTTTTCATTGTTCATTATGAATTAGCACAAATGTTAAAAAGTCCAATAATAACATGATGAAAAATTACATACCCCTCCCCAGCTCCTTCAATGATAAAATTTGGATATTCCTATTTTTAGGTGTTTTTTAAGAATTGAAAATTCCATACTTCCGTAAACAACTACCACCCTGAATTTTGAGGGTGGGAGTATTAAGTATGATTGTCTTTTCATCAAAGTGTAACGGATAATCTTGGTGGATTTAGAATCTGTGCAAATTGCAACAAAGAATTGCCTATTTTAGTAGATTTTGTGGTGACTCTGACTCAATTTGAGTAGCCTGTATCTGTGTATTATTCACCTATCATCAATGCCTCCATCTTTGTGTCCATCCTTCTGTTCATGTAATTCATTAATAATTCCTTCAGTTCAGTACTTATCTATGTATAACTTTCTACTTGTCTATTTTCAATGAGGTACCTCAATCTCAGTGAGGTACCAACCAACATATGTCCACAGTTCTTACCCCAGTACTCCAAAAGCACTGACACATCCATCACCCATCTGCTAGTTGTCATTTGTTTATCCATGTATTCATCGAATTATAATTGTATTGAGCTATCCATACATCCATCTCTCCATGCTAAGTCTATGGGAGTCAGGGGAGGTGATATATACATAAATTGACCGTAGTTCCTTTTCACAGGGAAGTATGGAGGATCAAAACCATATACATAGTAGATAAAGTATAGTGGGAGTACCGAGAACAGACATATTCATAATAGGCAACAGGGTGCTTCTCAGGGAAGGTGGCATTTGTGCACTGATGGATGATTATGGCCCTTCCATAATCACAACAAAGCTCAGTAGGACAAACATCCAAAGAGAACAGCATACAAGGCCCATGAAAACCACTCTCCTTCTGGAGGAAGTTGTGAGCTCAGGAGTTATGTGAGCCTCTTGATTTTCTATCTGGATCTCAATACAAGATGAAACATCTATACCTCCAGGGCAAACCTCTAGCACTGTTTATGAGATGAGTTCATGAACAGACACCAATATAGCCCTTAGTGTCCTTGTTCTCTGGGCCCAGCCAAAGTGGACACATGAGCAAATATACTGCACAAGCAAACATGCTGCAACCACCATCCATTTGGGGCACAGATCACAACATGAGCTTTATTCCAAGAAGATTTTTCACACCTTCTGCCTTTGTCTTCACAGAAACTTCTTAGCGTGGATTTACTTGGAGACCCCAGAGAGGTGAGGACTTTTGCATTCCTGAATATGGGTTTTGATTTCTTTAAGTTGATTTCACTTTAAGTTGCTGTTCACTATTAATGAAATCATTCTCCTTCTTGTGTGCGTGTTGCTGAGGCCAGGTGTCTTGCCAGGGTAACATAACTGTAGGATCAGAGACAGGACTGAAATGCACTACTCTGGTTCTCAATGCGATGCTCCTGGTCAGTACATCTGTACAGTCTGGGCTCAGCTGTCCTTTATTCACTTGCATTTCCTGCATTCAAAAGGCCTTGTGGAAAGAGGCTTTACCAGAATCTTCTACTGTCAAGAGGAAGGAGAAACTGGATAAGAGGCTCAGAAGCCTTGATTGAAGACCAGTCTCCTGGGAAGTCACAGAGCTGATTACCTATAAAGGAAGGAGCCTCCCGACACTCAGAAAACCACATAATCCTCCCATCTCCTTCCTTCAGGCCACTGCCTATGGGATTATTAGGGTCTGGTGACATTAGCTGCAGCATCTTACAGTCCTGTCCTCTTTATTTCTTCCCTGGAGATCAAAACACTGCCTCTGAAAGATCTTGTGAAGATAAAATTAGACCTCTTCAAGTATTAGCAAAGATGCAAGAGGACATTTTGAATGGCATGGCCTGACTGTATATTTGAACTGTAGAAGTGGTGGACAGTATTCACTGCCTTCTTAGAGCCTTTCACCCCACTAAGCTTAGTGCAGGAGAAACTCAAAGAAGTAAACAATGCTCTGTGTGCAATGGTGATCAGAAGAAAGGTGAAAATGTAAGTTTGCACTGCAAACAGAATTGAACAGTGATATCTGGGAAAGCACTGATGAGTAGGTGTATTAGTCAACTTTCATGTTACTGGATAAAATACTCTGCACAACTTAAAGGAGAGGTTTATTTTGGGTCACTTTCAGTGAGTGCAGTCCATGGCCAGTTGGCTCCAAAGCAGGTATTTCCTTCCTGTCACCGCACGGTGGCCTGGAAGCACAGAGAGAAGAGGAGCCTGGATGGAAATATACCCTTCCAAGAAATGCCCGCAGTGCTCAGCCTCTTCCAGTTTGATCAGGCCCTGACAACTAACATCAGACTTTTAGGAGACATTTTAGATCTAAACTGTACCATAGGTGCCATCTGAATCTCCCTGTGAGGAGAGCAAGTACCATCTCAGGAAACCTAAAGGAAAAATTTCTAGCAGAAGAAATGTCGGCTGCAAAGGCCCTGACAGAGGAAACCAGTGTGTTTGGAAGGGAGGCAGTGGGAGAGGGGCCAGGCTGGAAGCTGAAGAGGATTGGATTGTGACTCACCATGAGGTGGTCGGATGGTGTTCAGAGGGCTCTGAATAAAGCAGTGAGGTACATTAAATTTTACAAATGTCTCTGAGTGCAGTGTGGACTAGATAGTGAGAAGAAGCAGGGCGGGTGCAGAGAGAGCCCCTGGGAGGACAAGGAACATCAGCAGCCCAGGGAAGGTGTCCCGGTGGATTATACCAGGGCCAGAGCAGTGGTGCAGCGATGATTTTGGTGGGATCCTGTTGTTTTTGAGGGAAGAGCTGACAGGATTTGCTGATGAACAGCATCTAGGGTGTGAGGAAAAGAGGAGAAGGATGCCCTTGAATTTTCTGTCCCAAGGAAGGTAATCAAGGTGGCCTCTCAGGTCAGCCACCAATGTCTACTGAGTAGACAGTGACCATTGCTATCATTGCACGGTTGCTAATATTGGTGTTTTCTTGTGGATGTGTTTCTACCAAGAACCTCACTGCTTGTCATCTGCACTTTTTCTATTTTCTGCTTCCTCTTTGTCTCTACACTTCCATGTTCCATGATATCCTCAGCCTTGTTCTAACTTGTCAACCTAAGTTATAACATGTCATTTCCCATCTTACAAGCCTGCTCTTTCTTACAAGAGAAAGTGCTTTTGCTTCATTGGGTTAAACTTGAAAACATTCCTAAGGATCAAGGATGTGCCAGATATCATGCAGAAGACATGCTCCACCACTTGACCATAGTACTTGTCCCTGACCCCAGGCATTCCTCCAAGCCCCGTGCTCCTTGATGGTCCTGGGATTAACTAGTGACATCTCTGTTCCATACTTTGCCCTCCTTTGGAAAGTTCCTGTCTTTTCTTTATGTGGCAATGGCCTTCATTCCCAGATCCCACTATGTATGGCAAGGACATGATCCAGGGGCCTGCATGTATCTTCCTTCACATGAGCTCCTCCTTTTCCTGGTTCCCAGGGCAACCTTCTCTGAGCCCTATGGCTTGTATATAATACCAGTAGTTGCACCCACCTCTGGTCTATGTTGTTAGATTATTTCAGCAGGGTTTGTCCCTTGTCGAGATCTTCTCTTCTCTTAATTACGGCAACAAGTTTAATTTAGGCACCCTGGGTGATAAGCTTAATATCTTCAGATATATAGATAGATACATGCAGCTGCCCTCAAAAACCTGGGAATCTGTGAATTCATTGGCTTGCTGAAACATATTTGTTGCCTCAGATCAGTACTTGTAAGATTCCCATGGTTATCTATAATGAACACATGTGCAGAGCACTGAGCAACTTTAGTCACATCATGCCCATGTACCATGTGAGGTCAAAGAGAAATTTATTTTTTATTGCTTGTTCTCCCATAGTAAGCAGTGTTCTTTTTGTCATGGCAGTACTCTATTTTTGTGTATTTGCTTTCATGAGTGCATTAACTACTTCTCAGTTTAAGGTGCCTCTCAAGTGTAGTGCTGATGTGCTGTCTACTGTTCTTAAGCATGGTCAGCTAGGATATGCCTTACAGAATAAACAGATGCGAAAGATAGGCTACACTGAGCATTGACTTATGATTTCCTTACCTGTGATTCATTGTTAATGGGTGAACAATATTGTAAATCCAAGAGAAGAGGAGGTGATTTGCACACCTTTATGTGAGGCCATGCTGAAAGTGATAATGTAATACATATAGCATGTGATGCAGCTATAAATAGCACAGAAAAGCAGCTCAATGTGTGCCTTCCTTCAATGTTACATTTATAACAAGCAACAGATAGCATTGTTGTGAATAAGAAATTAAAGAAATTTACAATTAGCCAGGGTCACAAAAATCTTTGGGTCTTCCCAAGAGGTGTTTTATAATGAATACATTTTATTTGTTAGTAATACCTTGTAAGAAGTTTGTATTGTATAGCATGCCTTTAAATAAGTGCCCACCTATAAAACAAGAGAATGAAAATGTGATGAGACTTAACTCTGGAATCTCCTTTGAAGCAATAACCGAGTATTTGATCACTAGTTCAGTATTCATTGTGAGTTTACATAGATAGCTAGTATAAATCACAAAGAATAAACTCAGGTATATTGTAATAATATGTATTTTAATTTGAATGATACTTCCCCTCTCCTTCTTCTTCTTCCAGCATCACCTCATCACCACTAACTTCCCAAACTTCTGTCCTTGGAGTCTCATAGAAAAAGTTTTTTTAGGACCCTGAGTTTCTGTGGGAAATGCTCATCTTCAGGGAAGTCTATTGTGCTGGTCACACCTTCATTAAGGCAGTGGGAGAGAGACACATGTGAAGGGGCAGAGTAACGACGAACATCATGCTGTTCTCTTCCCTAGCACGATCCCTTTGTGAGCACCGTGGTTGATGGTGTGCTGTTGCCCAAGACACCCGAAGAGATTTTGGCTGAAAAGAATTTCAACACTGTCCCCTATATGGTAGGAATCAACAAGCAAGAGTTTGGCTGGGTCATTCCAATGGTGAGTATGGACAGTGCTCTTAGACAGATGCACCCCTCCACACTTTCACCTCTCATTCTCCTGACTTCTGGTGCCAGAGGATCGTCCTTTAAGACCCCTCTGAGTTTTGGACATTTGTCCGTATCGGCACCAGTGGATATCTACCTGGAAAACTTCCCTGGCATGGCACATTTGTCACCTGGGCAGTACAGGGGAGTCTTGAGAAGCTGGAGAGCCCAGGGTACAGAGCCTTGGCTGCCACAGCTTTCACCTTGGGCCTGGGCTCACAGCTCTCATAGATCTCCATTTGTATTTTCAGGCATCTCATAGGATAGAGAATATTCAGAGAATCTTTCTCATTGGAAATATTCTTTTTGAGATGAGTTCATCCTCTAAAAGGAAAGAAGAGCTTTTCCTAGGTCAAAGATAAACAAACTTTTCACTATTTAAAACACTAGGCCTAGTTTATTGAGTAATTTGATCACAATAAGAAAAAGATGAAGCATGACATGAATTTAAATCTCTAACACAAAAGGCTGGAGATGCTGAGGCTAGGTGTGCTCAGGAAGGCACTCTGGATGTGAGAGGTGAGTACATATGGCCTACATCACTGGATTTACTCATGCGCAGGAGAAACAGACTTAGCTTCATGACAGAAAGCAGAGGTGTAGGTTGAAGTGAGGCTACCCCTGAAATTAGACTTGCTCTTCCCTGGAGACTCAGCGATATCAAGAGTTAGCTTCCCATATGTTTATATGGCAAATAAGTTCAAAACATTTCAAAAAAATTAGCTCTTTGTGCCTTGAAGAAACTGTTTTGGGTGAAAGATTTACATTTTGAACAGCATAAAAGAATTTATAATTGTCTGATTTCTTAGGTAATTTCTTTAAGGGAAGATTCATAATCTTTGCATATGATCAGGCAATTTCCTAGTAGTATTGAGTTTTCTCAAAAAGACATTTTAGTGTCTGGGGTGATGTTAAGACATGACTTTTACCTGCAAAAGATGGGCAGGACTTCAGTCAAGTCTCTTAGTGCACAGACTGGCACAGAATTGTCACATGATAAGAGTTCCACAGTTTTCACTTCAGAAGTACCTCAAACTCATCATGATGATTTGTCCTTCTTCAGTTATCTGATTCTGTGACATATGGTCAGTATTCTCTGTTGCTGAGCCTTCTGCTTCAGCAGTATTTGGCCTAAATCCTAAATGATTTCTTGCTGCCACCCTGAGCATTTTTATTTTGGACCCATAACCAGATCTATGTATATCTAGATCTATCTAGCTATATATATTCAGATGTATCTACACCCTTATCCATATTGATATCCTTATCTGTATATTTATATCCTCTTTGAGTTTCTGGATATGTCCATTTGTTGCACTGATGTTTTCAAAGTAATAAAAGATCTAGGCCTAGAAGTTTCCAATGCAGAACCTTCATTCTCCATTGGTTTGGTTGGTTTCCTGGTATTTCATGGTTACTCACAAATGCTTAATTATTCTATTAACAGTTGATGGGAAATCCAATTCCTGAAGGCAAGCTGGACCAGGAGACGGCCACATCACTCTTGTGGAAGTTCTATCCCTTCGTTGTAAGCATGTAGGGAATCATGGGAATTAGTAGAACAACAAAGAAGGTTTGGGAACTTGCCCCAAATTACAGACCAATTCAATGGCAGGCAAAGGACTGGAATGTGGGGTTTGGCCCATTTTTCTGTCATTTTCACTTTACTATCTAGGGAAGATGTGCACAGGGTTCATGAATTTCACCATCAGTGAAGCCTGAATGACTGGCTGCACGATCCACATTACTCACCAAGTGATTGTTGTCACCTTTTTGATGCATTCCAGAACATTTCTGAAGAACTGACACCAGTGGCCACTGAGAAGTATTTAGGAGGAACAGATGACCCTGTCAAAAAGAGAGAGCTGTTTCTGGACTTATTGGCAGACTTGATGTTTGGTATCCCATCTGTGATTGTGGCCCGTGGCCACAGAGGTGAGTCCTAGAAGACAGATTCTGACACATCAGCTTCGTTCTCTGATCTGCCCAGATACAGAAAATTTTGAGTGTCAGAGATTGATTTTTGATGGCCTGAGAAGGGGCTCTGTTCTGTTTTGCTTCTGCCAGAAGCTGACACTGAGAAAAGGATCTAAATACAACTTGTTAATTTGGCAAGTGATCACAGAGAACACCAATAGGGAGAGATAAGGAAATGACTTTAACAACTGCTGGAAACCAAAATGATGCAGAGCTTAGCATGTGTCTACTGTGTAAAACCACAGCTAGAGAGCTATAGGAAACAAGCAAATGATTCAGGTCAGAGTTGTCTTGTCCATCCAGCAGGGAACTGGTCATTTATCCACCAGTGCTCACATGTCTTGATTGAAGGCTCTTCCAAGTGGTTGTACATTTTTTATTTTGATTTCTTACAAACATGTGTAAAGAAATTTACAGTGGCCAGACAGAAGCCTAAGAAAAAGAATTACAGATGCTGGAAGTGGAAGCAAAACTGACCTGTCCAGAATCAGGGGTTATGAATGAGGCACCAGCAGCAATTGCCACAGCAGCTTGGGCTCTGAGGTGATGGTGATATGTGGGACTAGATTGCAAATACTGGATAATTGGTCTTGAAATATTTTCAGAGTAAGAGGTAGACTTAAGCTAGGTTAACAAGTGTATCTGAGGGAAGAGTAGGAGTCAAGTATAGGATCAGACAGGTTGTTCAGGAGCGAGAATGGCAAATGCAGAGGGCAATAGATGGTGCAGGATGGGGGCAGGTGCATTTGTTTTCAATATCTACTAGGGCTTTTTCCTGTCTTGGTGAGGGCCAAGATGGGTCTGTCACAGGACCTTCTGACACTGACCCAATGCTGGGTGGATGGAGTATGAGTTTAGTGATAGGCGAGCTCACCTAGATGGAGGTTGCCGCCTTCTGGGTTCCATTTTGGAGCCTCACACAAACTTTTTTGCTACCAGGTCTCATTCAGCAAGTCTCAAGCCAGAAATGGCTCTTTATGCCAGATTCTTCTCCTGAACATTCTGGAAGAGTTTCTAATTCAGGAGTTAATTCAGGACTAAAAAAAAAAAAAATAAGTATTATAAAAGCTAACCTTCATATTCCTCTTTCACTGTTTCATTTTGTGCAAATGCAATTATTTGTAAGCAATTTCAGAACATTGAGTGAATACAGTATGACAAGATATTTTGAAAGAAAGAATGAGAATGACTGATGTAATTTCTAAAAATTATAAATTGACAAATTACATTTTGTAAATTTATGCTGTACTTATTGTTAATATGATTTACAAACACAAACAATAATAATTATTATATTATGATTTATGAATACAAATTCATGTTATCACCCCAAGCTGAGGAACACATACATTTCCTTAATAATTGAATATTTGCTATAGTGAGAACACTTAAATTTATTTTTCTAGAGATTTAATTGCACAATATTCTTTTATTTGCTACATTCACCACACTGTGCAATAGAACTAAAGAAGAAGAAAGAAAAAAAAATTTTATCTAAGATCCAGTACCCTTTCATCATCATCTCTTCCTTCCCTTAATACTAGCCTAGATCACTACCATCTTCCTCTTTGGTTTTATGAGTTTTGTACTCCACATATAAATGATCACATGATGTTTGTCTTTCTCTACCTGGATTACCTTAATTATAATGTTCTCTAGTTTTATACATGTTGTCACAAAAGACAGTTTATTGCCGTTAAGGTGAAATAGCATTCCATTGTGTATATAATAGCACATTGTCATTGCCCACTCTTCTGCTGACAGACATAGACTGATTTCATAACCTAACCTCTGTGAACAGTGCTGCGTGAACATGGAGTACAGGAGATCGATATGCTCCTTTCAAGCCCTTTGAGGAGACACCTGTAAGTGGGATTGCTGGAGCACATGGCAGTTTTGAGGGACCTTTTAGTGTTTTGAGGGACCTCTAGTTTGTTTACATTCACACAATAGTTTAAAAGTGTCTCCTTTCTCCACCCATTTGCTGTTTTTCTTTTTCTTTCTTTTATGATATGAGCCATTTTGAGGGTGAAATGACATCTCACTGTGATTTTAACTTTCATTTTCCTAATTAGCAATACTGAATGTTTCAAAAACACTTTTGTTATTCATTTGCATGTCTTCTTTTGGGAAATATTAATTCAGGTGTTGATTAATTATTAACTGAAGTTTTTATTTTCTTGCTACTGAGATGTTTGAATTCTTTATACATTTTGCTTAATAAACATTTACTATATGCATAGCTATAAATATTTTGTCTTAATCTGTAGTGTTTCTTTACGCACTCTTAATTGTATTTCTTTCTGAGTAGAAGTTTTTTAGTTTGAGGTAATCCCATATTTTCTACTTGTGTTGCTTATGCATTTGGAGTTAAATTAAAAAATGTTATTTGACCAGACAATTGTCATGTATTCTTCTTCTATATTGTTCTAGCAGTTTTTGAGTTTCTGAGAGTCTATTTTAATCTTTAATTCATTTTTATTTGTTTTGTGTATGGTGTCAAATAAGAATCCAGTTTGACTCTTAGCCATGTGGAAATTCAGTTTTCTGAGCATCATTTATTGAAGAAAAATTTTCTCATTGCACGTTCTTGGCAATTTATCAAAAAACAGTTAACTGTACGTTTGGACTGATTTCTGGGATCTGCATACCATCAATTTTACAGTGTTGCTGTGTGTGTGTGCATGCACGTGTGCAAGTATGTCTGTGTTTCTGTGAATCTATTTATGTATGTCTATATCCAGCAACATGCTGTTTTAATTACTCTAAATTTGTAACATTTGTTTAGAAGTCAGGTAATGTGATATCTCCGATTTATTCTTTGTGCTCAGGCTGCCTTGGTGATGGGAATGTTTTGTGGTTTCATATAATTTTGAGGATTGTTTTATATTTTCTCAAAGAATGACTTTGGAATTAAGAGAAGGATCTTATGTAACTAGTATATTCTTTTGGACAGTGTGATCCTCATAACACTGTCCATTCTTTCCATTTATGGACACAGAAGTTTTTTCCAATATTTGCTGTGTCCTTTAGTTTCTTTCATCAACATTTTATGGATTTCAGTGTACGGGTATAATTTAATGGTGCCTGGGTCAAATTTATTCCTAGTTATTATTTTTGTAGCTAGTGTAAATGGCATTGTTCTCTTGATTTTCATTTTTGGATAGTTAACTCAATATATAAAGATGCTACTGATTTTGGGGTGTTCATTTTATTATGCTATTCATTCATTTGTTCTGATTTTGGTGAAGTCTGTAAGGTTTTGTACCTATATCATGTCATCAGCAAACTATGACAGCTTCAGATCCACATATCTTTCTTGGACACCTGTTATTTCTTTCTCTTGCCTAACTGCTTTAGCAAGATCTTGGAATACAGAAAGGGTAAGAGCAAGCACAATTGTCTTGCTCTAGATTCAAAAGGAGATGCTTTCAAGCACTCACATTTGAGAATAATGTGATCAGTGGGCTTCTCAGATATCACTTTTGTGTGCTGAGTTACAGTCTGTCATTTGGTGAAAACTTTTATGATGAAAGGTACTGGTCTTTTCAATGTCTTTTCTTTCTGTGTGTAGTGGGATGATCATGGGTCCTGTTTGTCAGTTTCTAACAACACGTATCACAAGTTTTGCATATTAGGGATAAATACTATTTGATTGTGGTGAATTATCCTCTTATTATCTTGTTGCATTCAATGTTTAGAGTTCTGTGGAAGATTTTTATATCTATGTACAGGAAGAGTATTGACCTGTGATTTTCTTTTCTTGTAATATATTTGCCTTATCTTAGTATCAGTGTAGCTCTAAGATCATAAAAATAATTTTCAAATTTCCCTCTTCATTGTGCTTTTGGAAGAAATTGAGAAGGTCTGGCATTACTTTAAATATTTAACAGAGTTCACAGCTGGAGTCATCAACTTCTACCAGGGATCTTCTTTGATGCGGGAATTTTATTGATGATTCAGTCTTTACTCATTATTAACCAATCCAGGTTATCTTTGCCTACTTGGTTAAATCTTGGTAGATTATATCGAACTAAGATTTTGTTCATCTTTTTAAACTTATCAAGTTTGTGTGCAATGATTCTAGTAGTTTCATGATAGTTTGTATTTTCTATTGTGTCACTTGTAAAAGTCTCCTCTTCCTTTTGAAGACATATTGTGATTGTAGGAAATTTATAAATGTACATGATTCTAGGCTAAAAGGGTAAAAGGAAATGATTCTGAGCAGCATGCTGCCTAAAATAAATTCTCTCACTCTTAAGAATTCTTTTCTTTGTAATTGGATTTTGAGTTCCTTTCTAAAATGTTTGAGTGACAGATAGAAGCTTCAGCAAATTGTTTCTGATTTTCTTTTTTACTTTGCCTGCATTTTAAATTCTCTTACTGTATTCATGAGGAGAAAGGAAAATTTCTTCACTGGCCTGATTGAATCTTGAGCATTCTTCTCTCGGTCTTGATTCTCTGTGGGCAGTATGTGTGGAGTAAGGTCCTGAGACTTGGAATCCATTAGAAAGTTCTAAAGGAGCGGGAATTGGTGGCTCTTGTGACCCAGTCCCAGCATCTTGGGACTTGGAGATATTTGCTTTGATGATAAGAAAGCTTGGCAAGGGACAAGGCAGAAGAGAGAGAGAGAGAGAGAGAGAGAGAGAGAGAGAGAGAGAGAGAGAGAGAGAGAGA